AAGAAGAAAAAAGAAATGATGGAACCTTGTATAAGGTACGTTGGAATTCTGCATTTCTAAACTGACAGGCAACACATTTATTTCACCTACATGCATCACTTTGTTTGTTTGTGGGATTTCCCCTCTCAAAATCTATCATAATGGTAAATTTTCTTTTCAACAATTAGGAAAATCCAGTTATTGGACAACCTGCTGAGTTAAGAGTCATATAAGATTCAGAAAGCTGAAACAAACTGGAAGTTCAGGCTGTGCCTAAGTACCACAAACTATGCTTCATTACAATTAATTTACCCTTTATGTGCCCCCACTTTTCCTTTGTCTTCCAGATGGGAAGGACACTGTGATCTCAAAGAAAAAAGATGTACCTTTCTGCTAATTGTCTGGTCGCTGGATATTACTATAGGACACAATCTAATGCTCAGTTGGTCATGCTGAAATCCCCAGGATCCTAAGAATGGTAAATGCACTTAGGCTGGATCTACACTGGCCTATAATCCAGTTTCAGAATTTAGATTAACTACATTGAACTGAATTATATGAGTCTGCCACATAGTGCAGCTCAATGCAGTAAAACTGTATTTTGAAACTGGATTAGATGGCTGTGCAGACCTAGCCTAAGTTTCACCATACAGCATTGTAAATGTGCTTATATACCAACAGGTAGCTTTTGCACATCTTGGCTTCATCAATTATTTGAACAGAGGGACTTCACCTACACACCTCCCCTTTCAATCCCTCCATTAAAATGGGTGAGTAGAGACTATATGGGGATGCCAGCAAAACGGATTAATACACTTTCACAGTGTAGCACTACATTTCTCTTGGTGAGAGACGGAACAATTCCATTCCTAAAATACCTACTCATCTGTACTACTATCTGTTAAATGGGTCTAGAAAAAAAACAACAAAGCGACAAATGAAGCAGTGAGATCATATCTATTTCATAGTAGATAGATAACATCCTTGGTTTTTGATACTTTTTATTAGATTTTTGAATCAGCCACAATACCCTGTAGCATTTGACATTGTGTATGGCACGAAGAAGAATCATTACATATAGATTACATTTCCCTAAGTGTACTATTCTGAGTTATGCTTAGTTTTCATTTATCAATGCTGAAGGTCATGTTTTTCTAAACTCAATTTCGCTATTTCCTTTTACCTCAAAATATGAGATAAAAAAGTAATTCATTAGTTATATATTATTTATAATGACTCAAACAATTGTTTTACAGATTTATTCAACTGAAAACCTTTCTGAATTTTAAATACTCTTGTTACATAAAGGTACATTACCTCCCAATCTAAGCACAGCATAGGTGTCTGAAAGGATAAGCCTGGGGTTAAAGAGAGCCTTTTGCATCATTCTATCTTTCCCCGCCTCCTGTGACACTTGTACTCAGACTCTAAGTCAGTGGTTCTCAGCCTGTGGGTCCCCAGATGTTTTGGCCTTCAACTCCCAGAAATCCTAACAGCTGATAAACTGGCTGGTATTTCTGGGAGTTATGGGCCAAAACACCAGGGGACCCACAAGTTGAGAACCACTGCCCTAAGTGAACAACCATCAGACATTTCGTTTTGCCTGGCATGGAGGAGATGGCATGTCTACTACTAGATCTCATGATATAAATTACGTCGTGATAAAAATTACCAGTGGTATGCTACTGGATTCAGTTTTTCAATTTCCCCCAAGTTCTACTGCGAGTGCTATAAAAGTACCATGCTTAGGCCTTGTAAATACATCTTCCTTTCTAATGCACCTAAAGAGTGGTACAGATTTATGCAGCTCTTCTTGACTCCAGGACAACTTGCAAGATACAGCAAATGACACTAGGACCCAATGCCAATGTCACTCCAGATAATATGTATGTGCTTTATGTGATAAAACTGAATTCTATTTTTAAAAACCTCCACAAATATGAGAATAGTACAAAAAGTTTAATAAGGTAAGTGCTAAAATTTACTGATATACAGAAGAGTATCTATGGCTCATGAAATACTCATTTAAATGAACTGAATTACACAGGTATTATTGATTGTACACACTAGATAACAATAATAAAAGCTCCTAGAGGTGATGAAACACTACATGTGCTACTATAGTAAACTACATTTGTAATTTTCTTTAGAATAAATTCAGGAAAAGGAATGATTGTGATTCCGGAGTCATCTGCTCAGATTAAAATGGGAAAGAACCAAGAAGAAAATTAGGACGAACATGTATGAAATTAGATAAGGAGATAAACAGACAACCAAACAATAATCCCCATATCTTTCAGATGTCTCTATAACTCTAAATATGTTAGCAAAATGTATGAAAATGTATGACTTTGCCTTGGAACCATATTTCGCAATACCAACCCTCAGAGATGAGAAGCAATAACTAAGAATTGATTTATGCAGATGGATGTCATAAGATTTGACAGGTAGGTGGCTGAAAGAACCTCATTAGGAAAGACTTCTTCAAACTATTGAACGGCCTATCTTTATTTATGGAAATGCCTATTAGATGAGGATGCTAAATGGACAACTCAATTTATAGCTATCTTCTTCTGGAGACACACACGAAAGAATGGACATAATGCAGCCGAAGTTTGCATGCATTTAGCTTTTCTACTGAAACCAAAGAGATTTGTGCTCAGCTCTGTTTGACAAGGCAACTTTTTTTAAAAAACTAAAACACCAACTTTCTGTATTTTATTTTTAAGGAAAATGTACAGACATCCCAGGAAGAAACTAGAAATGCGTTTTGGGGCAGATTGCTTTCATCAGCCTGTAATGCTGCTATACAAATGGCTGCACTTTTTTCTGAGGTCATGAAGGAGGGAGGACAGAAGAGAGTAGGGATAGGCTTCCAGTTTTATTCTTTCAATGCTCCAATGTCTGGTTTTTAAGTTTCTTGGAAACTAAGATGCCTTGGCAGAGCTGGCTAAAACAAGTACAAGGACAGGTGACCATTGAAATCCTCTTTCAGATCACTTTGTTCTGCAGAGATCCTGCCCTCAGGAGGCTAAGCAATGGAGAAGCAAGATGCTCAGAGCTGAAGTCTTCCTTTCATACTATTTTTGTCTTATTTCCTTCATTGCTGTTGGATCTACAGCCTCTCCCTTCTATGCCATTTTCTTCACATCTGTTGTTATACTGGCATAGGGTTATTACTAATTCTTGGCCAGAATCTTCTTTGGATTTTTTTTTAGTATTTTACATGGATTAATTATGAGTCTAATATAGTTAAAATCCATGAAAGCATTTGCATATTGGAGTACAACTATGACCTTGCATGGAGGATGGGGGGTATTTAGAAAACATTTTATTTTAAATAGTTCAACGCTATGTAACGTGATTTTTGTTCCTGGGTTATAAATGTCAGTTCCTAATTGGTTCTCTCATAAAAACATGAAAAAATGTTATTAAACTGCAAAAGCTTTGGTTTTGCAGGACATCCTGCAACACATTTTGCTACAGTTTTTAATGAATATCTCATAGAGTCTCAACCAATTCAACACAGTTTTTGGCAGCCACAAAAATGATGTTTCTGGAGTATAACAACTATTTTCAAAGTAAGTACTGCACAATTAAACAGGAAATAACACTTTCAGGAACAGATTTTTTTTCCCCAAAATTTGCTGTTAGCAAACTGATTTGAAGTTACTGACAGTAGCATTCTATTTTAGTGGTAACTTTTTCTGTTTCAATTATATGGTATTTATCCTAATTTTTCAGCAGATCTGACTCTGGCTTTGGGGGAAAGGCAGGCTATGAAGAAAGTTAATCATGAATTGCCAGTGTAAGAGACAATCCACAGCTATTAAAATGAACAAGAATCTGCAAACCAAAGACAGTACGAACTCTAAAGATATTGAAGTACAAGATTCAGGAGTGTATCCAGGAGTGTGCTCGATTTGTGGAATTCTAAAGGGGAGCCAGATGTCAAATCCTTACATTGGTAATTCTGCCACTCTTATCATTTTCCCCCTCTTATCACTGGGGGGAGGGGGACCAGGAGAAAAATACAACATAGGTTTTCTTAGCTTTTGATTGTTGGTCTAGGAGCAGTCTGTCTTGAGAAATAATTACCAAACTCTGGTCCTGCAGGTGTTTTGGACTTCAGCTCCTAGAATCTGACCTCTGACCAAAGTGGCTTAGACTTCCAGGAGCTGAAGTGCAAAACACCAGGAGGACTAGGGTTTGGTCATCACTGATCTAGATGTGTCCTAATGTATGGACAATATTATCAATTAAATGTGGATTCTCAGAAGAATTTTGCACACATATAATAAAAGTGCAAGGTGTCAATTTTCAGCTATACCAACTTATCTTGCTCTCTAAAAAACTATTCCAAAGGACTGAGACATTATGTGGAGCAGCACAGGAGGTGGTATTGGACATGCAGGAGTACCAGTAAAATCCACCACCTCATCTCCTTTCTCCAGTACTGAAATTCCACAGTGTATTAGTTCCATCCATGAAGAGAAGGAGTCTTTCTGCATATAGAGAGTCAATGTTATGTGTTAGATCTAGATTGATTTTAATATTAAAATCAATAGACTTTGATTGACTTGTCAGAACTAACTTGTCCCACTAATTTCAGTGGGACCAAAGCATGATTAATGCAGTTTGAATGACATGAGGGTAAACTGAAAGTGTGAGACCTGGAATATATTAAGCTTATTCAATTAAATTGGCTTCACAAATTATGTTCGTGTTTGAATCTTAACCATTTCTGATTACGACATTTATTTCCTACCCAACAACAAATGCTACCCAAGTATGAAAAAGAGAACACTGTAAGTTTAAAACCATAGCAATCATTTGTTCACTCCTAACAAAAACAATTTCTTCCTCAAAGATGTTATGATCAGAAAACAATCAGCAATAAATTATTTGAAATATCAATAGTTATATCTTACAGTTCCTTTTACCATTAATGCAGTGGTACAATTCACCGTATTTAGAAGTTTGCACAAAATGTGAAGTTGCGTCTTTACCTTTTTACTAACCTGTAAGGCTATCTGGGCGGGGTGGAACCATTCTTTCGTATATATCATACTGTTGTGCATATTGCTCAATGTCATGAAGTGTCCGTTGTAAAGTTGATCCCAAATGCTGCGGGACCGCAGTCATGCCAGAACGCTTTGGTGAAGAAGACCCAACTTGACTTTGAGGGGGTGATGCCACTCTTGTCTGTGCATCATTTAAATTAAGAGGTGAACCAACTCTGACTGCAGGCTGGTACTGAGGAGTTCCTCCATTGGGGTTAGATGATTGCCTAGATGTTACTGAACTAATCCGACGCACTGCTATTGGTGAGGCAGGTCTTTGCGTACCAAATGGAGATGCTGCTCTTTGCGCAGGTAACGTTGTGGATGAGAACACATTAGAATTAAGAGATCGTGACTCAGTGACAGATGGTGAACCATAGCCACTTCCTAAAGAAGTTCTCAGTGATCCTCTTGATGGGGAAACTCCTGTGGTGACGTAGGATGGAGACTGGGCCCTTGATGGAACAGAGCTTACACGTCTCATGGCTCTGTTTGCAGGTATGTTTGAGGAAGTCTATTAACAAGAAGAGAAATAATAATTATATTAATATACTTAGTCATCAAAAGTAATCCAATTGTGAGTGTCAACTTCTTCTCTTTTATAATTATGTTCAGGGTACATTTACAAATTAGCTCCGATACAAAGACAGCATTTAAAATTTGCTTAAAAGCCACTATCTTACATATCAGTAGTGGGGGAGTCTTTGCCTTTCCAATATTTCGGACATTTCATACATTAGACAAAGAGCAAAATCTGGAGTGACAAAAAAAAATCTCAACTTTTGGCCAAGATGATATTCTAATTGGCTGGAAAATAAACATTCATCACCTGTCACTGAATAGTCAGAAGACTTTAGTGCATGAATATGTATTTTAGAAATGGATGTTTGGGAATATGATCACTTCACATCCATATAAATGCCTAGTTCTTGTTTGTATCCTATCTACTTTCCTTTTATTCTCCCTTTCTTACTTCCCTTGTTTTTTTTACTAATTTTCTTTGTAACCGTACCTTAAAAATCGAGTTTAAATAAAACATTTCACACCCCAGGGACAAAGTTCCACTGAAGACAATGGAATTGATTTCTGAGTAGACTGATATAAAATTGAACTTTCAGTCCAACCAACTGAAATTAATGAGACTTAAATCTCTTTCCATTTCTTGGTTTGTACATGAAGTGTTTTCAAATGACTCTTCTACTGCAGCTGACATCAACAATGCATTTCTGGAGAATACTGAGATGCCCATAGAAAAACAAAACTATACTTTGAAATGAACTGCTAGTATAAATGTAAGTTATTACTGTTTTCCATAGCTTTCAAGATGGTATGATTCTACCACCTCCAATGTATTGAGCAGGACACTGAAAGCTTTTGTTTCCACTTTAGATTAAATTAAGTTTAGCATAATGCCTAACTTTAGGGATAATTGTAAATTTCGATTTCATTAAACAAGGGCAATCTTAACCATGGATGTTTATAAACAACAATTTCATGAAGTTGTCTTATCTCATACAAACTACAGTTAAACCTAGTTTGCCTTGAGATATTGGGGGCATGGCCAGCGAACAGAGATACTAGAAGAAACAGTTCAGCCTCTTGAGTAACACATTATGGATAACTACAGCTTTTCTTTGGTTTGGACAACATGATAAATTACGGGTTTTTTTTAAAAAAAAAAAAGATAAAAAATTCTCCAGAAAAGAGAGGGGGAGGTGACAGAGAAGAGGAGAGAGTACAACTCTGCAAGGCTAGAATTTTTCCCATTACAGTAAGCTATGGCTATGATTTTCAAATGTATTAGTGTTACTTTAAATCCTAGTTATAAGAATAGTTTACTTAATTTATTTTGTCTTCTTCCATACTGCATCTAGTTTATTATTTATGATGTTAAATAATGGCTTCTGCATAGTCTGCATGGCAAGAAATACTTTGGGCATCTGAAAACGTGCCAGTGTTGTAATGCATACCTTTCCTTTTGTAGGCGTGTTCTATAATCATTTGTACTCAAATGGTTTTTTCCCACCTTGTTTTGTGTTTTCCTATTTCCATAAAAGGGTTGTAATTTAATATTAAACAGAATCAGTTATACTATAGTGATATCACCTGATGCTATTCTTGGAATGGCTGTTTTTCCCCCCTCTCTGAATTTTTTGTGCTGTAATAGTCAACATTCTTTTTTTCTTGTATATTGATTAATTCAAGTATTTTATATGACATAAAGACAATGTGAGAAGCACTGTACTTGAAAGCAGAATATTCTTCTACAGGTTGAATCTCCTTGACCCAAAAATATTCTAAAAACTGAAACTGTTCTCCATTTGCTGCTCATTTAAGTCTTTGGGAAAGGGGACTAGTCACACATTTCCTCAAGGAGAGGACAGGGAGAAGGAGAGAGGGTGCTTCTTACACAAGGCTCCTGTACAAATAAGACACTTCTGTGCTCAGCTTCCACCTGGACTTTAGTGGTGTTTGGCAGGGAGAATCCCCTGGAAATGGGCCACAAGGGCAAGTATGGAGTGATCCCATTGGCTGCTGCCTGTACTCAGCCCAAGAAGAATGAAAAAGATTCACGGGGCGGGGGGGGGGGGGGGGGGGGGGGTTATGGACAAAGATTTTCCCTTCTTCTCCTGGCTACTTTGCTAAAAGGGCAGAAAGTGTGTTGAAAGTGTGCTGGGGAAGCAAAGACATCTGCTTTTTGCACGGGCCTTATGTAAGCCTTCTCTGTTTTCTCCTTGCTTCCCTCACTGGGTTTCTGACAGTGGTGTGACTTTCCCCCATCCTTCATTCAGTTTGTATATACAAAAAAGAGAGAGAAAGAGGGAGGGAGAGAGATCCGAAACACTTCTGATCCTAAGCATTTCAAATAAGGGAGACTTGACCTGTATTATATAAATAGCATGTAAGTAGTAAATTTATGCAGCACTGAAAGCATAATATTTTTTCATAATTATAGGACATCATTAAGTGTGCTTTTTCTTAATAAATGCAAAAATAATTAATTCAAAAAATGGATTATGGCCAACTTTTGTTTAGCTTAGATGTTGTAGTTAACTGATCACCAATTAATTGACCAAACACTGCAATTCTAAAGGCATTCTTTAAAAAAAAAGATTCTAGCTTGTGGTAATAAAAGACTTTTTATTATCATTTATCAGTTAATCAAAATTCACACTAAAAGGGTTCAGTGATGCATACCTGAACCAAAGCTTGTCCTTCAGCCCTTGAACTTCTCACCAGATGGTTATTATTGGATCCAATAAAGGAATGTTGTAGTCTGTTCTCTCCCTTTCCCAGGTTCTGACTATTATGGAAACTGCTGACTTCCTGATACCCACTGTCGGAATATGAATTCATCTGTGTTGAACTTCTGGAGTTACCCACAGATCCTGTAGATGTACAGCACAAGACGGAAGTCATGCCACAGTTATACAAAAAAAAAAAAAAAAATCACCGAACTGATAAACTTCAGTTTATTTAAAATGTATATAACAGACCCTCACTTTCATGGAGCGATGTTTGCTCTGGTGAATAGAGATTCCCTTGTTCCGGCTCTGCTCCAACATGATAAGAAGTAATGTGAACACTTTCTGATGTTCTGAGCTTATTTACACCTGTATTTGGCAAATCTGAAAGTAGAGGTTCATTAATCACATACTGTATTAATATTTTATATCCATATCTATACACAGAGAACACAAAGATTTCGGCATTTCTGCTTAATTAGATGGTACAGGATAAGCAAGGCAAAACAAAGAGAATGGATATTGTATGATACTGTTCAACATGCACACACACAATTTTGCAGGTGGTGTTTTCTTCTCAGTTTCAAATGCTCGGTAATACTTATTTGGTAAAGTAGGAACATTTTGAAGCTGTTAAGAACATATTGTCAACTATGATAATCAGTCCTGGTCTTTAAAGATAAAACAAATGTATTTACTTCAAAGTCTTATGTAGTTTGAATTCTAAAAGCAGGATAGACAAAAAAAATCAGAAAGCTTCAAACTTACAGTTAGGAATCGTTTTCTATAGATATCATATTATTGCTAAAAGCTGGGCAAAACCTTTTGGCCAAGCAAACTCCACAAAATGATGGTACCTTTATTGGGTTAACTAAAAACCATAGAAAACAATATTCAAACTTTTGAACACTCACTGACCTCTTCATCACACAAAGATGTTGAGAATCATACAGGAAAAAAGTGATGAATTTAGAGTAACAGGTCTACATTTTGTGTATGATGCTTTCAATTAAGATGGCTCAGAGGGATTTCAATGAAGACAAGAACCCACACCCCCTCCTATTGGCCATGTCCCATTAGGGACAATAAGGAAAAACAAGACAAGAACATTTCATCTTCATCAATAACAGAAAAGTAACTTCTCTTGGGATCCAGTTGTCCTCATGTGCAAAGCTAACTGTTCATTTCTTTGACATTCAAGGTTTCACATAGAACAGCTGGCTTTCAAACAAAGTGACTTTCCTGTTGCTAATGGAGTTGAAATTTTAGTACCTGTTTGTTTTTGTTATCGCTCTTTGACCCTAGTCTTCATTAGGTCAATAAGAGGGGTTGTCTATATCTACATCCCTCAATATTATCTTAATTGATAACATCTCAGAGAGAATGTAGGTTTCTCCTGAATGATTTTTGACATCTTTGCCTGATAAATAGGCCAGTGAAGATAAAAATCTTAAATAATGTATTTTATGCTTAGGAGTTAGCCTAATAAATGCATTGCTGCTTACTTTTATTTAAATACCAGAGGCTAAAAACGTAAGTTAGCTCCACTGAATCACAAAGCAGACTCACTGAATCAATAATATTTGCCCTGGTGTTGACTTATCAAGTTCTTATAGATCAGAAGCTGAAGAGATCAAGAGAAGGTGGCGAGACTATACAGAAGATCTGTATAGGAAGAATAATAATATTGAGGATAGTTTTGACTGTGTGGTGAGTGAATTAGAACCAGACATCCCGAGGAGTGAGTTTGAATGGGCCTTAAGAAGCATTGCTAACAACAAGGCAGCAGGAGACGACGGGATCCCAACTGAACTGTTCAAAATCTTAAAAGATGATGCTGTCAAGGTGATGCATGCCATATGCCAGCAAATATGGAAAACACAAGAATGGCCATCAGACTGGGAAAAAATCAACTTATATCCCCATACCAAAAAAGGGAAATGCGAAAGACTGCTCAAACTTCCGTACAGTGGCCCTTATTTCTCATGCCAGTAAGGTAATGCTCAAGATCTTGCAAGGAAGACTCCAGCAATACATGGAGCGAGAGTTGCCAGATGTACAAGCTGGGTTTAGAAAAGGCAGAGGAACGAGAGACCAAATTGCCAATATCCGCTGGATAATGGAGAAAGGCAGGGAGTTTCAGAAAAACATCTATTTCTGCTTAATTGACTATTCTAAAGCCTTTGACTGTGTGGATCATAATAAATTGTGGCAAGTTCTTGGTGGGATGGGCATCCCAAGCCACCTTGTCTCTCTCCTGAGGAATCTGTACAAGGACCAAGTAGCAACAGTCAGAACTGACCACGGGACAACAGACTGGTTCAAGATTGGGAAAGGCGTACGGCAAGGCTGCATACTCTCACCCAACCTTTTTAACGTGTATGCAGAACACATCATGTGCGGGGCTTGACGAATGCAAGGCTGGGGTAAAAATTGCTGGAAGAAACATTAACAACCTTAGATATGCAGATGGCACCACTTTGATGGCCGAAAGTGAGGAGGAGCTGAGGAGCCTTCTAATCAAGGTGAAAGAAGAAAGCAAAAGCTGGGTTGCAGCTAAACATAAAAAACCAAGATTATGGCAACAAGAATGATTGACAACTGGAAAATAGAGGGAGAAAATGTGGAGGCAGTGACAGACTTTGTATTTCTAGGTGCAAAGATTACTGCAGATGCAGACTGTGGCCAGGAAATCAGAAGACGCTTCCTTCTTGGGAGGAGAGCAATGTCCAGTCTCGATAAAATAGTAAAGAGTAGAGACATCACACTGGCAACAAAGATCCGCCGTGGTCTTCCCTGTAGTAACCTACGGATGTGAGAGCTGGACCTTAGGGAAGACTGAGCGAAGGAAGATAGATGCTTTTGAGCTGTGGTGCTGGAGGAAAGTTCTGAGAGTGCCTTGGACTGCGAGAAGATCCAACCAGTCCATCCTCCAGGAAATAAAGCCCGCCTGCTCATTGGAGGGAAGGATACTAGAGACAAAGTTGAAGTACTTTGGCCACATCATGAGGAGACAGCAAAGCCTAGAGAAGACAATTATGCTGGGGAAAGTGGAAGGCAAAAGGAAGAGGGGCTGACCAAGGGCAAGATGGATGGATGGCATCCTTGAAGTGACTGGACTGACCTTGAAGGAGCTGGGGGTGGTGACGGCCGACAGGGAGCTCTGGCGTGGGCTGGTCCATGAGGTCACGAAGAGTCGGAGACGACTGAACGAATGAACAACAACTTGTGCTGGGAATGAACAAATAGGCCAGTTGTACCAGCAAAAGTACTAGGAGGATTTTAATATGAATTTTTATTTTTATGTAATTTTATTATTTTCAAGGCAATTATATCAAAAGTAGAATGTGTGTGTCTGTGTGAATATCAAAGATGATAACCTTGTGTGAAAAATATCACATTACAACTACAATGAAAAAGTTCATTTTGGTATCTCTGCAGCCTTAATATAGGAGGTGAAATCATGCTCACTGAGAAGCAAGGTGTTGTTGGTGGTGGGAGGACATTTGCTGAAGCATGTTTCTGATGGTTTTGCAGAAGAATCTGCATGGCCTGTTTGCTTCTCATCCACTGAGCTGAGTATTATTTCGTGTTGTTCTGAAGATTTTTCTTGCTTATAATTTTATTTATATATGTAGTATATTAATACTTTCTTTTCTTTTAAACAAAATTCACAAGAAAGCTATGTAATAATTCAACTTTAATTAGGACTGTAAGTCAGTTTGAGAATTGGATGAGGTGTAATATAAATATTTTAAATCAATACATTTTTAAGTAAGTGGATTTCAGATTTTTTGACCTGGTGAAAACATGATTTGCCTATTAAAATGAAGCGAATATAAAAATCCAGGGAAAGATGGGGGAAGGGAATAGTAAGCATCAAAGAAATAAATTAAGTAGCCCTTCCACTTGTTTTTTGCCTATGCCACTGTCTCCCACACATCATTGCAAACCAATTGTGAAGCGAGTTTCAAAAGCTATTTATGCTATCACATGGCTGTTTAAAATACACAGAGAAAAAGCAACGGCAGCACGTAGGTGTGCACATGATAAAGCTTATGGGATCACTGCCCAGTAGTATTAAAACTTTGAAATACAACATAATACTTAATATCGTGGAAAAGAAAGGAATTGGGAGGAAAAGGTTCAGTGCTAATTCTTCCTTTACAAACCAGAACAATGGTGCCTTCCACTTTCTATTTTAATTCAGCAGTGTTTCACTGTAAAAGTAATTAGAATATCACAAAAATATTGACTTGAGAGTTTTATAAAATGCAAGGCTTTAATTGGAAAGCCACCCTTTGCTACAACTACAATTCAAAGAAATGTGCAAATAAATGAGAACGTTTTGGCCTTGTATTTCTACAGCAGCAGCCTTCAACGCCATGCTATCAGTTATTTTCAAACCTGAAAAGATTTTCAAAAAGTTTGATCAACTAAAAAGGTCAAAAATCACTATAAAATAACTTTTGGGGGATAAAATAATGAATTGAAATTTTTTTTTAGTTCCTTTGAGGAGAGAGGGTGGGTTAAAAATTAAAATGATGATGATGATGATGATGATTAAAGGCAGAGGTTTGCTGCAACTTCAATCAGTAATAGAGGGGAAAGGGCCTCTATCCTCCAATTTGTTTGCATTCTAACTTCCAACAACAGCTGATATAGGGCCCTTCCACACAGCCATATAACCCAGAATATCAAGGCAGAATATCTGCTTGGAAATGGATTAACTGAGTCCACACTGCCATATAATCCAGTTCAATGTGGATTTTATACAGCTGTGTGGAAGGGGCCATGATGAATGGATGATGGAAATTATTATGCAGGATCATCTGGGGGACTATACATTTCCCACTCTGACAGTGTATGTCTAGATATGTAACTAATGTAAGTCAATATGGAAATGGAATACAACTGGCCCTCCGCATGGCCATGTTCTACATCCATAGATTTAACAAACAATGGCTCAAACATATTAAGGGGGGGGGGGTAGGATCCAAAAACAAAACTTAAATTTGGCACATGATGAGCACTATGCTGATGTGAAGGAATGAACGCCCTGTTGTAGCCTCCCGTCATTTCATAGATCCTCAGGCTCTCTCTCTAGCACTCATTTGAATTGTTTGCTATTTTATATAAATGCCATTTTATTAGGCTGTTGTATATCATAGAATTTCAGCAGGGATCCTGGAACCAAACCCCAGCGGATACTGAGGGCTCACCGTAATGCAAATTAAAGGCAATGTATATTCCTTTAAAAAAAGTGTGCAAGGAGGAAAAAAAAAAAACCAAAACAGCACCAAAATACCTGCAGCATTATTGCATAAAGAGAACCATCCTTGCAGCTTAGAGGATACAAAGTTGAATACAGAATGAAAAGCTATAATTTACAGTTATTTCTACTTAAAAGTAGCTTTTCATTTGCTAAGAAACATCCCTTTAAGAAGCTAAATCATGCTGAAGATTTACTATGGAAGCAAAATATAGTAATTGGCAGAGTAGCCATAACACATTAATGAGCCACAGAAAGAAAAACAGGAATGTCATTATGTGTCTGCTCCATGTTGATGGTTGGTTGCTTTTAATATAGTTTCCATGACAGAAGTTCACTAAATACTGTTTAAAGTCATTATGCACTTATGTTGAGGTTGTTATTGTATTCTATTCTGTTTAGTAATATTCAAAATGCAGTCTGTGCATATTGCTCCTCTGCACCTTGTATTATAATAACCACAGGTTTTTCCTCCAGGAACAGATGCTTAATGAGAGATAAGCAATTATGCACCAATGGCAGGACCTAGCATAACTAGGAGGGGCAATCCTCACCCAAAAACTGGATACAAAGGGCTAGATAATCCTAGTGTTGAGAAAAGCTACACTATGGCCAAAAGGATGGATTGAGTCCAAAAGGCATATATTAGCAAAGAACTGTCTGTAACTAACAACTGCATTGCACCATTTGTTTTATTTATGCAGGACACCTATGACTTGCATTTTTGATTTTTTTTAAAGGCATAAACATTCAAGAAATATTAGAAAAACTAACAAAGTAAAACATTTTTTAAAAAAAATAGTCACATTAAAACACCAGTGACATGGTAAGATACTCAGGAAAGGTAGGTTATCAATCTATGATGTTACCACACCAATTTTCAAGTTCTCTGCTCTCGAGGAATATTTTCCACACTAATTTGTGTACTTGTACCAGCCAGATCTGTTAGTCCCAGGTGTCACTCTTTACAAACGAAAACTGCACCAACAAACAATGCACATTATACACATTGGAGAACATGGGGTACTGGCATAATGCTCTCTTTCATGAAGCTTCTCTTCTATTACAGATCTTCTAGATCATCTGACAGCCATCTGATGGCGCAGGCTGTGCTCTACAAAAACTCACGCCACAACAGCCCCTTAGTCTTTTCGGCGCCAGAAATCCCGTCACTGTTCTAAAAAATGATTTACGAATGCAATTTGAAAACCATTGTTCAAATAATAGCTCCACAATAGATTATTTGTAACCAGATGTAGCATACAAGAATCCTGCTCATTTTAACTGCCACAATAATAAAAATAGGAATGATAGCATCCAATATGTCTTACTATCACCACCAACAGTAAGTTTATAATTCATCTTTTTTTTCTTAAAAGGTACCCAAGGAAGTTTGTACACAAACGGGGGGGGGGGGGGATTAACAGCATTTTAAAAGCAAGACTTGGTTTTGAAAGCAGATCATACAAGGAAAAAACGAATTGTCATTGTTTGTATGCTTTTTATCCCCTCCTTCCTGCCATAAACTGATGTATGTGGAAAATAGTACCTAAGCTTTTTTAAGGATGCACAGCTTGCTTTCTTATCAGGACATGCAACTGGATTCCAGAGATTTGGAAATAAATTGTGGCTCCTTAAAGATTTATAAGTTTTATTTGGCATCATTCCTGGACTCTAGCCCATTTCACCAGGTTAATGAGTATGTAACCTCACTTGATGGATACACTCCCTGCATCAGCTGCTGGAGGCTGGAGTCTATGAAAGCTTATGCCAAATAAAATTCGAAGCCTTTAAAATGCCACAAGACGGTTGTTTATTGCTGCAACAGAATGATATGGCTATCACCCTTGAGAGATTTAGAAATGGAGTAGTACTGATGTTAGTTAGCACATGGAAAGGCACAGAGAGAGAAAGAGCTCTAAATGTTTTTTTTTTAAAAAAAACACAACAGTATTATGGGTTTCTCTGGGTTTTTTGGGCTGTATGGCCTTGTTCCAGAGGGATTATCTCCTGATGTTTCGCTTGCATCTATGGCAGGCATCCTCAGAGGTTGTGAGGTCTGTTGGAAAGTAGGCAAGTGAGGTTTATATATCTGTGGAATGTCCAGGGCGGGAGAAAGAACTCTTGTCTGTTGGAGGCAAGTGTGAATGTTGCAATTGGCCACTTTGATTAGCATTTAATGGCCTTACAGCTTCAAAGCCTGGCTGGTTGCCACCTAGGGGGAATCCTTTGTTTGGAGGTGTAAGCTGGCCCTGATTGATTCTTTAATACCAGTATTAAAAAACTCTAGAATCAGGTCAGTAAAAAAAAAGAGCAACATTAAAAAAATAAATAGGGGAATTCCAAATAAGAAACAATCAGGGCCAGCTAACACCTCCCAACAAAGGACCCCCCCCCCCGGTGGCAACCAGCCAGGCTTTGAAGCTGCAAGGTCATTAGATGTTAATCAAGGTGGCCACTTGCAACATTCACACTTGCTTCAAACAGACAAGAGTTCTTTCTCCCACCCTGGACATTACACAGATATATAAACCTCACTTGCCTTGTTTCCAACAGACCTCATTACCTCTGAGGATGTCTGCCTTAGATGTGGGTGAAACATTAGGATAAAATGCCTCTGGAACATAGCCATACAGCCCGGAAAACTCACAGCAACCCAGTATACTGGCCATGAAAGCCTTCCTGTATATGGTGAAATAGACAGTTACACCTAATAATACATGATCATGTATACAAGGTCTAGAGAGATACCTGTAAAGAAAGAAGTCATGGGTAGCAGCTGGTAAACACCAGGAAACTGTGAAGAGTACAGCTGTTACAATTACTTATATAGATTTCATTGATTATAAAACTTTAAAGGGCATCTTTGCACACATGTCCCCAAACAATCTGAGGGCTGAATTGAAAGACATCACTGAGTTATTACGGGATATAACCAAAACATCTTTTAGAATCATGGGTGCTTTTTATATAAGTAAAGCTTTTTTTCTGCTGGTGGTACTGTAATTAGTGTGCATCTTCCAATTGATGACATCTTATAAGTGTGAATCCACAATGTAGAAATAATGCAGTTTGACACCACTTTAATTACCATGGCTTCATGCTATGAAATCCTGGGAGTTGTGGTTTAATGAGGTGCCAGCACTCTTTAGCACAGAAGGCTAAAGACGTTGTAAAACGACAACTCCCATGATTCCACAGCACTGAGCCATGGGATTTAAAGTAGTGTCAAACTGCAATAGTTACACTTTAAGTTACATTAGAATTGTATGGAACTTGTGACTTTTTGAGAGGGTATATCTTATAGACAAAATAATTGCAGAACAACTGTACCTGCAGATCTCCAGGGAAACGACTTCTCAGTAGAGCTATAAAAAAAGAAAAGAAAGAAGAAATACAATTTACCTTTTTTTTCTTTCTGCTTTGTGAACAGAGTTTGATCAGCACCCAAAGTGTAGAAGAAGTCCAGGAAGTCAGAAGGACTTCAAGTATCTATTTTAGTCTTTGTGCAATGCACACATAGATTAAGAGAGATGACGAATGGGAATTCTGTGCCTGTATTGAGTCAAGATCATGATAACTCCTGACAGAGGTAGACTCAATGTGGATAGAGCAGAAGCTTTTGTTACTACATGAATGCTTATGTTTTACCAATTTTAAAATATTTTCTCAGATGCATGTATATATTTGAGCATTAATATACTAAAAGACATTGATAAAATATGCACATTTGGTTTTTTATGGACATAATATATATATACAATATATCACAGCAAACCCAGAAAAATATATTGGCTATATTTTACAAACTGCCAGTCCACCAAAAAAAGAAAATAGTACCATATTTCATACTACCATGCAGAAATCCATTAAAATGCACTACTTGTCTAAGTATGTTTTTAATATCAGCTTTTCATAATGTCTAGTAAGTACAGAGCTAAAGGCAATGAAGAGTATTTCTGCTCCCTTCTACGAATGCATTAAGAATTGGGTAAAAATGTAAAAAATTACTCTTCAAAGAAGAAATGTGTGTTTTCCTTTTCCACTTTAACATTTACAACATAGGGCTGCCAGGCTGGACAAACGGCTTCTGTTACTGTTAACTTCATGGCAGTAAGAGTGGTTTGACAGTGGAATATGCTGCCTCAAGTTGTGGTGGAGTCTCGTTCTTTGGAAGTTGGATGGCCATCTGTTGGAAGGGATCAGACAGGATAACCCTTGGGGACGTTTCCAACTGTAGGATTCCATGTTTCTCTATGCCTTTTTGCTTTCTACCACTCAGTAAATAACTGTTGGAAATGTATAAAGCATTGAAAAGGGAGAGTTGGAGGAAGGAAATGTGCCATAGTTTTTCGCCTTATGGATCTTGCCACAACCTGTTAATGATTAGGGTCGCATGAGCCCTGTCCCATATCTAAACTGGAAACCCCAATACAGCATGATGTAAAATGCATGTTTCCCTGGAATGTTTCGATTCCAGCCACATTGAGTGGAAGCTGGTTATTAACAGTGGTGAGACACCATTTTAAATATCCTAAAGATTTTGTAAAAGTGCCTGAGCTTGTGACACTTTGGTGGAAAGTCTGGGAATATAAGTTGGTGGTTTATGGCAGTCTGAAGAGAATGGAAGATAAAGGTAATCTAACTCGCTACTCTGCCGCTACTTCCGGCACTCTTTCTCCTAATTCAGTCAAAACATATATATAGTTGAACAGTTGGTGACACAATTCACATCAATATGTGCTTTTTTGTTCACATTTTACCTCATTCATATGTAATTATGACTATCCAGTGTGAACACATATACTGAATATTAAATTACAGTCAGCCCTCTTACATTTGCAGGTTTTCTTTTTGTCTATTTGATTACACTATGTAACACAATTTTTGTTCCTTGGATATAAATGTTGTTTCCTAATTGGTTCTATCATAAAAACATGGGGAAAGTTTAGTAAACTGCAAAAACTTTGTTTTTGTGGGACATCCTGCAGCACATTTTGCTACAGTTTTGCAATGAATATCTCATTGAGTCTCAACCAATTCAACATAGTTTGTGGCTATCACAAAAACAAAGTTTCTGGAGTATAACAACTACTTTCAAAGTAAGTACAGTATTCCCTCACTTATTGCGGGTGTTACATTCCAGGATGACCCACGATATGTGAAATTCTCGGCTCTCCTTCTTTCCTCCGGGGGCGGCCCTTCTTCCCTTCTCCCCTCTTTACCTTCCTCCTCCTCGGTGCCTCCCTTCCTGCCGCGACTGCTGCTGCTCCAGAAGTGGCGGAAGAGGCACTTCATCGCCACCTGGGCTTCTTGCCGCCCTATCATACTTGCCCAGGGCCACCATCCGTGGCAGGAGCTTGTGGCCCAGCTTCAGCGTGAAGAATGGCACCAGCATCGTGACAAACACGTTATTTTCTTGCTGCAGCCTTTCAGAGCCTAGGACTTCAATTCTCAGAAGCCTCAGCTGCCTTGGTCAATGGCGAGGACTTCTGGGTGTTGGGAGTCCGAAAAACCTTCTTCAACAAGACTGATTTTCCAAGTTCAGTGCTGCCCACTTGACGCCTCCTCCTCCTGCTGCTCCTGGACCCAAGTGACGGCAAGAGAAGTCTTGCTGGAGAATGTTTTTTGTAACTCCAACTCCCAGAAGTCCTTGCCATTGACCAAGGCAGCCAAGGCTTCTGGGAATTAAAGTCCTAGGCTCTGTAAGGCTGCGTAGCATGGAGCTAGGCCAATCACAGCATGGCTGCTGTCCCCATGGCAACGTAACCCAGCCAGTGACCGAGGGGCGGCTACGAGGTGCCCCCCTCTCTCTCACACACACGCCTTGGCCTTTCTGTTCAGTGTTCCCTCGCTACTTGTTTTAAATATTTTAAATTCATATTTTTTTTAAAAACTGCAAAACAGCGGTAAGTGAACCGTGAAGTAGCAAGGAACACTGTACCACACAGTTTAACAGGAAATAACACTTTCAAACCGGGAACTGATTTTTTTCTCAAATTTTGTTGATTAGTATTATTAGAAACATTGATTAAGAAGTTATTTCTAGGTCCTCCAGAATTACTCTATTCTCAAGTTTCGCCACAGAGTTATGCTAGAGAATCTAGAGACAGAACACTTCTTTGGGCATTTGTAAGTCCTCCAGAATGATTCTATGGCTAGCTTCTGGAAGAAGTTGACCACAAAGTCATGCTAGAGGACCTAGAGATATATCTGTTATTTCACGTAAAAAAAGTTTTTTTTTATTTACAATTTTTCCATTTTTGCTCCGGCCCTGCACCTCAACCACAGCAAACGAGGAGGGCTCTGCAATATGGAAAAATGAGGTATACATTGCCATGAAGTGCTAAAGGAAAGTGAGGATGTCAGCACAGTCCAGAGAGACAAGAATATTGCCTGGTTCCCTTGAGTGCATTTGGTTCACCTAAGCTCATATGAAGTTACTGAACGGGGTTCATTTATTCTCGCAATATCACATACTCAGGTTGCATTAGCAGTACTGTGTCACTACATGAAGCTTAAATGACTAGGATCAAATACTATGTGAGAATGAGTCCATAAAAATGGCACAGAAGCAGTAGTACATCAGGGCTGCATGCAACACAATGAGAAGACTCCTAATACAAGGGTATTTTTAAAATCCATGAAATGTTGTGTTCTTCATTCCAAGTTAGACTGTATGAATATTTAACCTTTTTAGTTTTAATGACAAACGGTTAATTCCTGCATTCCTGTGGGATATGGGAGGGCTATTTCTCTGGAAGAACGCTATTTTCTCTACTATGCCATTCAAAAGTGATGTCACTGAAATAGTATCTGAATACTGTAAAGCTCAGCAAAACTATATGAGGGGGTCAGCAAAGTAATATGGAGATTTCAGCAAAATAATAGCATTTTCAGCAAAATATCAATGCCAGCCAACAGTTCAATATGACAAACATCAGCAAGTTTTATCAAAAAATATAATCATTTGGGGAAAATGTCATATATGCACAGTGGACCAGGATAAGAGCAATGTTTCCATTAATAATTATCAGAAATGTATGTCTAATTACTGCTTTTTAAAGTATAACTTCATTTTGCAGACCATGTTCCAAAGAATATGCATGTGCACAGAGCAGGGGCTCTCAAACTTTTTCAGCCGTGAAGCCCTTTTTGAAGCAAAAGTTTCTTGTGGCGCCCTAATAAAAGTTTATATATTATATATTATATGTAATGTATATATATTAGGCATGGGTCGGTCCAGTGGCACATAGGTGGAGAGTTTTTGTGTGAACTAATTCACAGAATGTGTGTGTGTGTGTGTGTATGTATATGTGTGTGTGTATATATATTATATACATAATCACAATATTTAAAAGGAAGACCATCACACAGTCCTAGACACTTGGGAAGTGTCCGACATGTGATCCAGTTCAACAACCAGCAGAGTGTCTGCTGTGAACTCATCTTGTTATGTTTCAAATAATAATAATAGAAGAAACTCCAGACGAGGTGGGGTGCCTGTGGAGCACGTGAGCACCTCTCACAGAGCCCCATGGGACCACTGGCATAGAGATATAAATACATGCTTGGCTTATGTATTTGGATTCACCCAGACGAATTTCGTTGCTCTATGAGGCCAAGTCACTAATCCTCATAGAGCAAAAAGGATTCTGCTCAGTTATCTTGTAAGGAAAAAGTATATTCTTCCCTTTCATTTTTTTAGCCATTTAGAGAAGCAGTGATACTGATAAAAGGAAAAAAAATCTGGAATGACACAACAGTGCAATATTGAAGCTTTTTTTTTCTGTCTTTGGGCAGAAATGTCAGTTGCTAATATAATAGCTGCCTGTCTGTGAACTACCCTGTCAAGTAAACCTCTTCAATTGAGAAACTATGGACTAAGTTGTGTTTGCAGCAGAACGTTACGGGGTTTTGTGTGTATGTATGTAGGTGCCTTCAAGTCACTTGTCAGCTTCTGGTGACTTGGGCACAGAAATCCTGTGGCTTTGCCAGTTCCTTCCTCTGAAATATAGCACCTAGGACAGTGATGGCTACCCTTTTAGACATGGAGCGCACCAATGGGTGGTGAGGTGGTAGGCATTCGGGGGGGAGGTGGCAAGAGAGGTGATAGTGAGCCGGGGTGGTGAGCAGGGCGAGTGAGCAGCAAGCACCGAAGGGGGAAGCCCCTACTGCCCTTGAGGATAAGCTGCATTTTAAGTTGTGTGTGTGTGTGTGGGGCGGGGGGGCGGGGTTCGCTCAATGTAACACTCAGAAATCCAATCTCAGCTTCTCAACTTTTGAGTATCCTTCCAAGGAGTGAAAATTTATTTCAGATATTTTGATAAGAGTGCTACTAATGTTTTTTATATAAACCTAAAATAAA